AGAGGGAGCAAAATTGCTTCCACCCATTACTCCTTGAATAGCACTAGCTTGATATGCTAAAACAGCCTCATTTCCCTCTGTCTTTCTGAGTAATTGTTGTTGTAATGACTGCAAGAACAATCACAGTGGATAAACAACCAATAAATAACAGCTCCAGGACCATCTCAATATTAACATTTTTTTTTTAAATATACCATCTCAATATTAACATTTTTTTTAAATATACCATCTCAATATTAACATAGACAGTACATTAATGAACACTTGCAGAGTTCAATGATATCCACTTTGATTTGTAATGAGTGCAAAAACAATCAAAATAATACCCAACCATAAATAACAGCTTCAAGACCATCTTGATATGAAGATAAGCAGTACACAAATGAACACTAAAGAGTATTATTCCATATGACTTGGCTTGTAAACAAGTTTATCTATAACAAAGCAAATAGATTTCTCAGCACAACCAAGATTGTTTAACTAAGCAGTAGAATTACAATTAAGAGTCAACATCTTGAAGAAGGGGGAAAAACAAAAAAGTGTTGATTATGGCATCACAGGAAGATTGAGAGCTATATAAAGATAAAGGTAACAAGCAATAGATATAGCCCAAATGAAACAGTAAAATATCCAAAGAAGATATGCAGCTCAAGGTCATTGTTCCTTTTTTTGGGAACAAAATAATGATTCATTTGAGTAGAGAAATTGAAAGTAAGATAAATTCACTGTCCTATTTTTTAAATAAGAAAATGTAACTTTCCACTTTGTCATTTTGTTGCACAAGAGAGAAAGATATTCAGCCAAAGAAAATAGTGACCAGAAAATCATGGAATCACATGAATGGCACTAAAATACATCTAAAACGGCAAAACCAACGGATGGTCCAAAACTGCAAGAATGAAACTCATAGCAGCTCTATATCAGAACATTTGCCAGTCAACATTACCAATTACCAAATTCAAAATCAGATTTCAATTCTAACGGGGAAACCAAAACCACATTAACACAATTTCCTTATATTGAAAAGATTAAACAATTTCAGAAAAAGAAATAGCCTTACTTCATCACATATAGCTTCTCACTTATAGAAAGATGATGAACAGAGAATATACATGATACATCAAGCGATATTATTGCATAAGGGAAAGAAAAGAAAGAAACGATGGACAACACGGAGAACAAGGAACGACATAAATGTAGTCAACCTCTTCAGTACAGCTTAGTTAGAGTTTAGAGCCAGTCAGAGTTAAGCAGCTTCAAGTTTAATGCAACCATGAGTTCCGGTTTTCAACCAATTTAAGACATGCAAGGTTAGCGTCCCAAAATAATTATAAAAAAGTTTACGATAAAAAATACACTAAGCATCCAACTAATGACCTCGCTGTACTGCCCGAATTGGAGAACAAGGGGTATTAATTGCAAAAATTCACACTTTCCAATTTCCCATTTCCACGTACATATACTCCCAATTCTTCTGAACCGAAAACTTTATATATCCAGAATGATATTTCCCACTCATACTCGTTTGGACACACACTGCAAAATTTCAAAAACCCACAAATTCCTATCTAATAACTTCAAACTCAAAATCAAATTGCACCTCTAAACCCTTACCTGCCTAGACCCTATGTGTTGCTGTTGCTGCTGCTGCTGCTGCTGCACTGAATCAAAACCAAGGTGCGGCTGAGAAACAGCGGACGATGAAGAAGAAGGAGATGCAGCAGATGATGTTGACGGGGCCCGACCAGCCGGTCCCATTCCAGGATTCCGGCTGGGCCCACCACCTCCTCCGCCCCCAGATTGCATGCAATTGAACCCGAAATTTACCACACTGGTGCCTTGCAGAAATTGAATTTACCCTAGAAAAGCAAAAACCCCAACAACTAAAAAACAAAAATCCCTCCAAATGTTTTTAGCAAAACCCACTTTTACCCTCCGATCCCAACGTTCTAAAAATACAAGCTCACAGTAATAAATCCCCCTCTCTCCCTCTCTACTTTCTCTGTCCAGATTGCATATCTCTATGGAGAATAAATCGAAATTCGCGGGTGCAATGAGGTGAGTGGATCCGGGTGTGTTTTTTCAAGGAGGGAAAGAAAAGAGAGGAAGCGGACTTGACGGAATCGGTGATTCGACTCACTTCCCCCCACTCTCTTTTCTCTCTCTTTTCTCTCTCTCTGTAGAATTCACGCGATTTGCAATATTTTTGCAGTCAAACCCTAGGATTTGTTTTTTCATTTTTATTTTTTTTATTTTTTCCCGTTTGTTAATTTGGCTGTTTTTGGGGGGTTAATCTGCACAGGTTTGGGCAATGGAGGACTCGATTGGATTTATTATGGGTTTAGTTGCGTGATGGGACCCACCTGGCTACGGTTAAAGTTTTACGGGGACTCATGATTTTCAAATAACCCCTTATTTCTTCTTAATTACGATTGAGCCCAAATCCGTATCCTGACAAATCCGGACACAAATAAATGTGTACCGGGCCCACAGACTGCTTCACGCTGATATACAGTCAAAGGTTACCTCTTCAACCAATAGTCACCTGACACGTGTTACTTCAATTTTCTAATCAACTAATAAAGTTTATTTAGAAAATATTAAACAAAAATACACACTTCATTCACATGTTTTTTTCCATTTATATTTACATTTTGTTTCTCACATAATTTGAAGTCAAATTAGATATTTTTGTTAAATGAGATTTTTTTTTTTTTTCTTCTCAATTTCTTAATTAGCAACAAACAAAATTCTAATATATGAAAAAAATAAAAATTAACCAAAATATTAATTGCAAATACAGTAAAGTATATACATACATATGTACATACTAAAACCTATGTTCTTCTTTTCTATGTATAAAAATCTTAATTCCAAATACTTTTGGTCCTTTTATGCAAATAATTACATGAGAGAAAATATAATCCAATGTGGTGTTTTTTGTTCTTTTAGTTTTAATGATTGTAATTTTTGTGATGCTTTCTAGTTTTTTTTTTGTAATTTTTAATTTTATAATTTTTTTGATTTTTTTAATTTATTTAATCTCAAAGGGTCACCTATAAATTTTTAATAATTCTACATGTATATATATATATATATATATATATATTTTGGGGAAAAAGTGTTATATAAAATATCTATATATAAAATAGTTAATTGTTAGATCAATTATTTAATTTTATGTGGATTTAAATATAAAAAAAAGTTCAATAATATAAAGTATTATATAATGTTGAAATTTATGTTATTCTAACATGTAAATCAGATTTGCTT